ACGCGGCGAAATTTTAAAAACGAAAGAGAATGTAGGTTGAGGACTTGATGCCATGCCGATACAGTTTAACAAGGTGGCTGTAGAGTTAAGGTCCAGGGCTGCCTGACGGGTTGGAGGTCCCGCCTGGTGCTTTATAAGGACCAGGGAGCCCGTTACTCCTGTAGGAGGAGGAGGCAGCTCAACACCCCGAGACAACATTCTCATGGATGTGGTACAAAATGCCCACTTTTCTTAACATTACGTAACGTACCCTTACCCAATATAACCGAACCTAACCTAGATAACCAACCCAAGCCAACTCAGTCTTACCAAGCCAAGCAATCCTTATATGAATCTACTAAAAATGAAAATTAAAAACATATATAGAAAATAATACCAAAAAACATAAGATCGCCATTTTAATGCTTTCAGGTTACGTCATAACATCTACCAGTGACGTAACCTTACGACACCTTAACTAACAAATGACACATGACCATGAAGGGTAACCAATAAACGACACCTCCAGAGACAGCGAGTGTTGTGTGGCGACCTCACAACACAGGAGGTGATCACAATGTAATCCCTGACCTATGTATGCTGGCGTGGGAGTCTAGACAAGGATATATGTATACTGCCTCCCTACACCTACCACCTTAAAATGTCACCTAGATCCCCCCCCCCTTCTACAGCGCCACCTCCAGATACCACCTAGATACATCAGCTACCGAGTCACCTGGACATACTATATAAGGAAGCCCTCACTAGGACAATCATTTCAAAGGACAAGGTTGAAATGCCCTGATCAGATTACCTTACTACAAATCCTTCCTACGTGTCACATAGTTTAGGCCGAGAATAATGTTTACCACACTGTGTCTGACCACGTAGTGTAGGAGGCTCTCAGAGGGTGATAGGGTCGTTCGTTACTACAGTATTGTATTGTGAGGGAGGAACTGTAGTGGGTATTGTATTTATGAAGAGGTTATGAAAAATTTTGACGGGTTATCTGATTAAATAGACAGATATAATTAGATAAAAGGTTAGATAGACAGATATTCAACTTGTATATATAGACAGTATGTTTGGATCCACAGACACTAGTAAAATAATACCAACGGTGATCTTGAAATAATTATTAGCTTTGTTAAGGGGCACTGACAAAAACCTCCCTCCTCACTCCCTCCCTCTCTCTCTCACTCCCTACCTCCCTCTCTCACTCTCTCTCCCCCTCTCACCCTTTCTCCCTCCCTCCCTCTCTCCCTCCCTCTCCTCTCTCTCCCTCCCTCACTCTCTCTCCCCTCCCTCTCTCTCTCCTCTCTCTCCCTCTCTCCTTCCCTCCCCCTCCCCTCCCTCCCTCTCTCCCCCCTCCTTCCCTCCCTCCCCTCCCTCCCTCTCTTAAAACATACACCACTCAAGATTCTACCAAACATTTTTTTATTTCATTAATTCTGGTCTCTTAGTCAGCTACTAAACCTGAATAAGTTATGCATCTTAAAGAAACTCGTTCGCTAATCATTACTAATCACAAGTAACTGATTGTCAAGCCACTGCTGATCTACTGACTTCATGTCCTGACTGGCTAATCATTTTGGTAGTTACAAGGTACAACTAATATGCTAATTATTATGTATTTATATGTAGCTAATTACAAACAAACAAACAATAGTCAGTTTTAGGTAATTATCAGGTATGAGCAGCCAGGTGATCGACTATGTAATTAGGAGTGGGTAAAAGGTGATTTGTTATGGGTCATTAAATACGGGTTGTGTGTAGAGGCCGCCAGGGGGGACCAACACACACACACACACACACACACACACACACACACACACACACACACACACGGGACTCTACGGACAAAACCCCAATGAAGAAATATCCCGAAGTATAACAATTCATCTCGGACAAAATCCCATTGGACAAAACTTCCACTGGACAAAATTCCCATCGGACAAAGTGCCATTGGACAAAATTACCCAGAAATTATTTCCCTCTGGTTTTACGACAGGAAATAAATGTGTGACAACTGTATAGAGGAATAGAACAGAATTGATAAAGAAGGAAAGAAGACAAAATGAATAACGAAGGGAAATGAGAGAGAGAGAGAGAGAGAAAAAAAATAATTAGAAAAAGAAGAAAGACAGAAATAGAACGAACAAAACGGATAAACGAAAGAAACAAGATAACGAATAATTAGGAGAACAGAAAAATAAAACAGAAAAGAATAATTAAGCATCAGAATACAGGTAGATACAACAGGTGAGGTGAATAAAGTGTTATATAAGAAACAATAACAACAACGTACTTATATAACGAAGGTAATTACATGGTGTAAAACAACAACACACACACACACACACACACACACACACACACACACACACACACACAGGAGGAGAAGGGGGGTGGGGGGTGATTGGAAAGTGGGGGGCGTGTGGGCGTCTTCCAAGGCTGGCATGCAAGAGGCCGGCCACCCGACAGACAGACAGACCAACCAACCGCCCGCCAGCCCCTCCATCCGTGTCAGCGTGGGCGTGGGCGTGGGGGGGGAGGAGGGGGGTACGTGGGCGGCCCTGGTGTCCTTGATATTCTTAATTCTACTTCCAGCTACATTTAACAGGTTAGGTTGAGAGAAGATATACAGTTAAGAGAGAGAGAGAGATTGAGTCTGTCGTTCACTTCACAAATCCCAAAATTACGACAACGTTAGCACGAGCAATCAACAGTGCTTGGCGTTCCCCTCAGCGCCAGCACGAGCAATCAACAGTGCTTGGTGGTGGTCATGACAGTTAACTGTACTGGGTTACTTTGCTCTCAACACTTAAATAAAATAAACTGGTAATTTCCTTTAAACTTCCATATTATATAAACGACGTAAAGTACTGAGGTTATTTGACAACAGTAAGAAAAAAATTACTTCTTTCATACTTTCCATACTTTTCTACACTCAAAGTTTCACAGAGAATAAAGTTTGTATCATTTAAGTATATACAACCTTGACTTCCATTTTTGACAAAGTATAACAAAATATATATACCTCGCCTTGTATATTTAAACCACAATTATAATATTAACCTTTATACTCCCTTGAGGTAAATCTATTAAACCATTTTAATTTTATCAGAAATATTCAAGATTTTCTCTAAATTTCATCAAGTTGGGAAATATGAAAAGCAAATTCTTCATCCATATTAAAAACAAGTCATAGTTTATACTGGTCAAATATCCCTCACACGGAAAACATCACGTCAGATCAGGAGAGGCGGGCACTTATCAGGAGAGGCGGGCACTTGAGGGGTCTCGAGGCTCCACAAGACCTTATAATCTCACTCTAAGTAATGTGGGAATATTTTAGTTATTATATATTAGTTAATAATTATAATGTGAGTTTTAGAAGGATGTAATGGAGAGAAGACCTAGATGGTAAGGTAGAGATGAGGGACAGAAGGAGATAATGAGAAATAGAGAGTAACAAAAAGAAGGAGGGAAGGAAGGACAGGGCAACAGTGAACCAGCAGGAAGACCACCCGACCCCTCACCACCTTCCTGACGGGGCAGTAACAAGACTCAACACAACACTATTTAATACCATAGACACACATCTCTCTCTCTCTCTCTCTCTCTCTCTCTCTCTCTCTCTCTCTCTCCTCTTTCTCCCCCTCCCTCTATCTTCTTCATTTGTATGTGGAGGTAAATCAAAGAGTACGGAAACGTCAAGGAAAGAAGAAGGAAGAGGAAATAACCGAGATAATGGAGGAAAAGAAGAATAAAACAGGAAACAGCTAAAACAACAATTATAAGTGTGATATAATAGCCCACATCCTCATCTACACACGCGGTGAGTCTTTATCAGATACACTTATCATTTATATCCGTCTAATACCGTAACTAATACATGCTAAGTTTATCTATATGGTTAATCATTTAATACATCCTAACATTTTTTTACGTAAACGTGCCCCAAGTAGTTAGGATATCTACATAGGATTTTTTTTCTCTATTTAGGACCTTTACCACGCCTCTTGTGAAATTCTTCCCCAGAGATCCTATACAACACGCCGCTACATACATCCATTAGAACTCACAGGAACCTTTATAATATCCTATGCAGGTCCTATAGCTCTTTGGCCTCTGCTCATACTGGAATCCTAGAGGACTCCCCATAGTGTCTTCAGTAATCTAGACAGATCCTTCATGATATACCCAGGGATCAGCTACAGCATCCTACACAAGTCCCCAGATCATCATCCCCTCAAAGGCTGTGTATAAGGCGCCCCTGTTGGCTACTTCACTATGTAAGCCTCATATGATAAGGGCTGCAATACTAAGCACCTGCGCCCTCTGGATATCTCTCAGGACTCGACATAGTCTCCCTACTAGGATGCTACACTCATCATGTGCTCCGTGTTGAGGACTCCACCATATAAGCCATGGATGAAGTGGGTCACAGTCAGCTTTCCACGCCCTTACTGGCCGACCCAACACCACCACCCAGCCACTCTCCCCTCTCCTGCTCATTCCTTCTCCTGCTTTTTATATCGTCTTGTTTTATCTCCTACAGTATACATCCTCCAGGAGGTCTCGGAGACGCCCCTGGGACATATATTTGGCGGCAGAGGGTGGTTGATCCCCTCAGCGTGGGTGCACAACTTTCATTTTCAACTGCGCGTTGCGTGACTGATACTGCTGTCGTGTGTGTGTTTTATATTTGATGGTCACACGTCTCGTCGTTAGTCTTGTGTATTCCACCTTCTTCATTATCCTTTATTCCTTCGTTCCTGCCGTCGCTGTTAGGTCTTGGTGACATACCTCCTGTGTGGCTTGGCACTGGCACTCCCATAATGCCCCAACAGGTGAGCCACGGACCCAACACACCTGTACGCTCACCGCTACAAAACTCATTCAATAATTTACACTTTTCTCTGGCAATTGCCGTGAAAGGATGCCCAAGATGTTGAATTTTCACGTTGGATCTGATTAAAAGAGTCAAAGATAGACGCCAAGGAGCTTACACCTACCTGTAGCCATGGTGATGAAGGCTACAGCCCCCAAAAGTCCTCACCCGGCTCCTTCCTGACACCAAACCACTCACTAGAGTTACAACACTCACACTGAACACCTTGCTCAGCTTACCTGGCCAAGATCCGCCTCCCCAGCGAAACCTTACATAAACCTTCGCTCAATTTATCGTTGTATAACTAAAAGATCCAGTTTATTTACATTGTATGGAGAGCCTTATTCACGCTCTTGATAGTTCTAGTTGTAGCTAAATTAACGTTTTTAGTTGTACGGGAGGTAATTTTAGTCAAAACATAATATTATCCCATAAAAATGGACCTGGAACAACACAAACGAAACATTTTGGAAGTTATCTTGCACCCAAGACCCGTAACCCCGGTCACGTGACGAAGAAGAAACACCGTGATTGGTTAAGAGGGTGAGGTAGGCGGGGCCAAGAGGCGACGGTGAGCTGGTGGCGTAGGTAGAGGTTCTGGACGGCACATGAGACAGACGCCCTTCACTATCCACTGTCTCTCTCATCCCTCGTCAATCCTTCAGTGCCGCCGTCAGAAAGGTGCTGCTTTAACTCTTGAAGTGGTTGGCCAGAGGTTCAAGATCTAGACGGCACACAAGCAAACAGACATATGCCCCTCACTATTATGCCTCTCTCTCCTCCGTCACACCATCTTCAGCGCCTCAGTCAGGAAGTTAGGCTGGAGTATAAGTTCTCACACAGACAGACATACATACAGGATCCCTTAATTACTCCCCGTCTCATTCACCTTTCGTCATACCGTCAGGAAGGTGCTGCGTCAAGTATGAGGTAGCTGGCCAGGTGTTGAAGGTTAATGAGTCTCAGGTGAACTTGATATTATTTTAACTAGAGGAGTGTACTGAAGGTGGAGTACCTGTTAACACACACTGAACCTGTTCCACCACCTCCTCTTTCACCCCCACCTCCTCCCATCTTCCACCTCCTACCTCCTCCTCATCTTCCACTCTTCCCCACCTCCTCCTACAACGGACTGCCACCTTCTCCTCCTCAGTTCACTCCCACGACTCTTGCTACTTTAGTTATGGCTGCCCCCCTCACCTCTCTCTCTTTCTTTATTTACACAAACCACCTCTCTCTCTTTCTCACTTTAT